CCTGCTGAAAATTCAGCTTTGCAAAAAAAAAAAAATATATATATATATATACAGTATATATATATTTTTTTTTTGTATGTATTTTTATATGTGTGTGTGTGTGTGTGTGTGAAAATAGAAAAGTTATTTTAAACTATAATTATATTTCATAATATTACTGTTTTTACTGTATTTTCATCAAATAAATACAGCCTTGGTGAGTAAAAATAAAATAAAAAATTTCATTCAAAACCACAGAAGTGTATATCAATAATTTTTGGCTGCTCTGGTAACTATTTATGTCTCTTATTTTTGTGAAATTAGTAATTGCCTTTGTTCAGTCTATACTAATTTTCAGTCACATTTATGTGTTAAAGTAGTGATGTCAGTTTATCTTATTGATTTAGTACAGTTATTATATAAAAAAAGAAAAATTAATGCATTTAATCATGACCTGCCAAAACCACACTTACTGTGAGCATGAGTAAGGAGTCGTTCACAGATGATGCAAAACTTGAAACACACATCTAAAAGTTCTTTTTTAACTTAATTTGGCACCTTGAAAAATAACTGAAACTTTATATGTCATGATTCATTTTTATTGATTTAAAATGAAAAGATAAGAACCACACTTTCCTGTAATGTATCTCACAAAAATATGAATCTTTTCAAATAATATTAGGAATTACATTTGGCATTCTTCTCATTTTACTTAATACGTGATTTGTAACTTGTGAATTTAAATTGGATTTCTTTTCCGAACAATAACAGTAATGTGTTTTGTGTTGTTTATATCGCCAGGCTGTCATTTGCATAAAAGAAGTCGAGAGAAAAATGATTGTTAGAAGAAAAATGCATTCCTGTCAGCTCACGCTCAGGTTGCGTGGATTCTTCTCCTGTTTGTGTTAGTTTAGTAATTACTTTTCAGCGGTGTGATGAGAGGGGAGGTAGAGTATTCAACGGAAATGCAAAACGCCCTCAGAAACGCCTTCAGATGCTGTCGCATCAATTAAAGCAGCCATCATTTGTCATGATTTAGTTGGTTTTGCCGATCATTAAAAGGAAAAGATGAGAACATTTCCTTGAAAAGCTTCATTTGTCATGCTAACCAACCTTTGAGCTCGAATAAAAGAGGTCACCCTGTGTTGAGTGGTCTTGGGACATTTTGAGGGTAGAAAGTGTATTGCACGTCACGTCTGCTCTCCAAATAAGTGTTCAAAAGCCTATAAATTGGTAATAGACTTGAAGAACAAGGCTGCTTATTGAATCAACCATGCAATGCTTTCTGTAGTGCTTTTAAGTAGTTTGAACTCACAGGAAGTGCAGTCCGTCTGCTTTGTGAAAAGGTCCTTGAGGTGTCAGAGCAAGGTTCCTTTAGGAGGAGGTGCGATTATTTGATAGACGGGGGCACTGTGGTGAGCTGGTGATTCCGAAGGCCTGTTTTATGCATCTCCTTTACAGGGGCCGCAGATTTATGAGGCTATGCGCTGCAGAGCGAGAGAGAAGTTTTATAATGCAGCCTTTGTATCTTGTGCTGGAGTGTTGGGGAAGGCTTTTTTCCCCCTGAAAACTGCTATAGTGATTGAACATTAGATATACTGATACTGTATTTCATTTACAAGTCCATGTTGCAAAAGTCTTTCAACGGGTTAAATGGTTCACCCAAAAATGAGAATTCTGTCATCATTTAACTCCAAATCTGTATCAAATCTGTTTTTTATTTTTCTTTAAGGTTCTATGTTGTTTTGGACCCCACTGACTTTCATTATATGGACAAAATCAGTTTGTGTTGTGCAGAAGAAATTTATCATTACATCACTTGCTCACCAATTTGCTCTGCAGTGAATGGGTGCCGTCAGAATGAGAGTCCAAACAGCTGATAAAAACATCACAATAATCCACAAGTAATCCACATGACTCCAGTTCATCAATTAACATCAAAAGTTGCACATTTGTAATAAACAAATCCATCATTAAGATGTTTTAATTTTTAACTGTCACTTCTAGATAATAATCCATAATAGTCTATTATCCATAACAAAGCTTCCTCCAGTAAAAAAATAATAATATTTTAAACTAATTTTTCACTGGAGAAAGCAATATTATGGATAGCGGACTAGTAACAGTTTAAGCTAAAAATGTTATTACAAACGTGCAGCTTTTTGCTACACAAGATATTAATTAATGGACTGGAGTGGTGTGAATTATTGTGATGTATTTATCAGCTGTTTGGACTCTCATTCTGACGGCACCCATTCACTGCAGAAGAAATTTCTCCAAATCTGTTCAGAAGCAGAAACAAACTCATCTACATCTTGGATGGCCTGAGGGTGAGTAAATGTTCAGCAAAGTTTAATTTTTTGGTTGAACTATTCCTTTAAATTAATATTTGCGTAGCCTATGACGCTTGTTCTGTACATTTACACACCAGCTTGTTGATTAGCAGTCACATTATCAAGAAATACATCAAGATGTTTTACGTTGTCTTGATCGTTTCTCGTTTCAGCCTCCGTCACCCTTGGTTGCATTGGCATGCTTAATGCAAATGGCACGGTGATGTATGATGGCTCTAGAAGCAGCCTTGTCTCCTTCATTTAATTAACGTGCACCAACAGCTTCTTTCTCATAGATCGCCAGTCTTTTTCTCGCCTCTGTAGTCTCAGAATAAAATCTTCCAGTAACTACATCCCACACTGCTTTAATCTGAGATTTAACCAGGACTTCTAGGGTCAAGTAATTTCACTCTCTGTCTCTTGGTTCTCTCTACTGTGGGCAAGTGTTTGTTATGAAGTGCAGACACACACCAGTGTGATGTACACAGCCATTTTCTGCAGGGCGCTGAAGTTTAATAGATCTTTCTATCATTTGTGTTCATACTGGTCAAGAGAAAACCCACTGTGTGTGCTTTTTACTTTTGGTAGGCAATATGCGATCTGTCAAGTTGTCACTGCACAGCTGATTTTAATTAAAGGATTTCTTGCTAGATAATTTCTTTTACAAAAAAAAATAAAAATTAGGCTTCAGCTTTTTATTTGTGCTTTTTTCTATGAACAAACCTTTTGATGATTTCTATTCCTGACACATTAGTGCATGACTTGTTTGCCAAGTAGTTTCTAAAGGCCCGTTCACACCAAGAATGATAACGATAGCTATATTAGCATTCACATAAATGCGTATTCACATAAATAATGTTCTGTGTATTATAAGCATGTAGGGTTGGGAATTGTAAGAAATTTTACAGTTCCGGTTCTGCCTAATGATTCCAATTCTAATTCCATTAAGTATTAAACTATTCTATTTCTATTAAAATTATTAAGGAAATTCAGTCAATTATTTTTTTATGACTCCAAAAAAGAAGTCAGAAAATACGTTTTTTTTTCTATTTTTTGTTTATTTATACATGTGTGTATTTTATTCACATCTTATTTTTTGTTATCTGTGTGTTGTTGTTGTCTCTGTGTACTGGAAGCTTGTGACACCAAAACAAAATCCTTGTATGGCAATAAAGTTTTTTCTTACTTCTGAGAATTTCATCCGTGTTTTCTGCATTCTGGTAAAGTTCCCAGTGCTTTGCTAACTCGTTGCACCAGAAACATTTTTAGAACCGAAAGTTATGAATTTTGCACAGTTCTGGTATTTTTCAAAAAACAGAACTGGTTCTGTATAAGAACCACTGATCTATATAAATATTCTCTAATATAGATCAGTGATAAGAACCTTTCTTGCATACTGAAGCTTCCATATATTCCTGTGGCGTTATCATTATAGTTGTAGTATAGACTTCCCTATTCTCATAGAATTAGAATGATTAATTAACAGGCCTCAGCGGTCTTGAACTTGCATCCAAAAATAATTTTTTGGGTTAAGGAAAAGTGAATTGTGACAGAATGAATTTTTAATGTTCTTTTAAGGGGATCATTTGTTAGTAAAAGGTACAAAAAAACCGACGTGACAGTTGCAGCGCACTGTGACAGTCACATCTGACATCTCCCCATCTCTTCATGTCAAAATGCTGCAGTCAGCATATTTTTATCTCATGTAACCTGCAGCAAAGAAAGAAATGATGGGGGGTGGGGGACTTGTTTGCCAAATGGGTAAACATTCATTTACGTCTGGCAGTGAAACGTGAAGTTAATCAAAGTGATTATCTGGTGTAATCATCGTCATTGTCTTCAGGCCTTCCTTATAAACTGTGCCGCCTGTATTCCTACTGTAGTCGTACTGTAGAGAGCAGCAGCTTTCTCTGCCATCTGGAGCCAAGCTGCATGTCATCCTCCCCTGATTCACTCTCAGCTTTTTAATCCCATCTTTCTCTTGTGATAAAATGTAATTAGAAAACATAAAATGGGCCTGTTATCTATCTTTAATAATATTGCATGATGAAATGTCATTAGGTTTATCTGTATGTATAGGAGTCGGTCAACTATGCAGTCCCCACGATGCCTGCGTCTGCAGGATCTTCTCCGCGCGTCAGATGAACATCTTTACATAGTCCTGAGGGACAAGTTTATTAATCAGTCACGAGCCAGTCCGTCCCCAATCGTAGTCTCGCGCTGCCTTGTGTGTGTAAGTGTCGCTATCCACGGTGCTGAAACTTTATAGCAGGCGTTTTTACTCCTTTTCAACGGCAGTATTTAGTTATGTATATCGCGTTAAAAACAAATAATTACAAATTCCAAAAAATTACAAAACCTTCGTAGTAGTAGCTAGTATTCATATGATTCATATTCATATTTTATTTATTTTTCTTTCTCTTTTAGTATTTAGATAACTAGAATATTTTAACTTATTTTACAAGAGTTTTAGGACAGTGATCTCCTATGGTGCGATGTAATTGCTGGTGTAATGTTCCATGTTTGCACCCGGGCTTGAACTGCACACTTACACCGGGACTGGTGCCTGCCGCAGGGGGGGAGCTTTGGCCGGCAGCTTGTCTATTGCCCATAAAACCAGGGGATGTGCCGGGGTTGAATGACAGGAGGTAAATGAGGCGTAAAATTAAAGAATCTTTCTCTAATGGTAAAAGCAAGAAGCAAACAGCTACCGTCCGTGAGCTGAAAATCAAAGAAGTGGAGCAGACATGTCCAGAAACGGTCTAGCAGAAAATACATTGCAGAAGTTATAGTATGATAGCGTGAACATTTTGCCTAGGGGTAGCTAGGTGTCTGTAAAAATGCTCGGTCACTAGGTGTGAAAAGCAGTTAATTGTTAGGCTGCGCTAATTATACTGGTCCTGTCTAATGTGTATTTAACATTGCAGGATTTTTCTGAGCACGGGGAAATGTTGAGACAACCGTCAAACGGTATTCCGCCCCAGCCGTCTGGGAGAGCGGTTGGAGCTACAACTACTAACACACCGGAGAATGGGAACCCGGTGCCCCAACCGCCGCCTGTAAACGAACGGAAAACTTTTTGTCCTTCGGAAAACAAACCGTGCGAAATGGAAGACAATAAAGCATACGGGACGTTTAAAAACGCCGCACCTGGACCCACGTTTGCTCCCGTTAATTCTGCCGTGCGCAAGGATTCCGTCGGTAAAATGGATCGTTCGACCGGTAAAGCCACGTCGGACTTCATGTCTAACAATCAAAGTGCTGTAAGGATCGCGGCGGAGCATAACAACACCACCGGTGACTGGACCTCCATGAGCCAGACCACCATCATCCTGGGTACAGATGGCAATACATCTGTTCTGCCTGGCACGGTGACCGGGGTAAGTGCATGGTTAAGCAACGTTTCATTCCGGTTGAATCAGCCAATCACCCCTAAGCTAAAGCTTTCAAACGGGGAGAGGCTTGAGCAAAAACAAAACCTTGATATTGTAAGTGTCGTAGTAGCATTGTCAAACCAAAGGAATCCAGCTGCAGCTTTGTCCGGTAAGATAGTTACAGTTTGAATTTTGCTCGCGAGACTTTCATTTAACCCACTTATGTTTGTAAAGAAAATACAAAAAATGATTTTAAAAAATGATGATGATGATAAGGGTTGGAGTTTCTAGAGGTTCGTCTCACTCAAGCGAAACAGTCATTTACCACCACAAGCACTATTATCCTTTAAAAAATATATAGCGTTTTATTGTGATATTGAAATGTACACTTAGCGATAAGTAGTGACGGTTATTTGGAGCGGCGTACTGTTGCTATGGTTACCTCCTAGCCAAAATCTATTCGCTGGCGTCTTTGGCGACAGGTAAAAATGCGCCGTGACTAACGTTACTGAAACGTTTAAAACACATATGCACTTATATAAATGTGTAGTCTAATTTAAGACCTTCGAACCTTTTGTTTGAATTTAATTTGCTCTTACTTAATTCGTTTTTGCTGTGTGAATATCGGTGTAGGCTCGGTTATGTATTCTATGCAATGTGTTTCAGGGGTAAAAGACGGCTACTGTCATTTGTGATATATGGCTCTCATAATAGTCATAAAAGTGTTTTGGACAAAAGGACATTGTTCTGTAGTCTCTCAAACAAAATCTGTGTTACTGATTGTTTCTGACAGCACAATAATTACAGCAGTTTTCACGAACAGTAAGAGTAAGAGGATATGTCAAGGAACCTGAGTGCATCTAATGCTGTAGGCTATGTATTAGGATAGTAACTGTTACTGCATTGCAAATGAAACAACCCCCCAGATCAAGAGTTACAACATTTGCTTTATGATTGGAAATGAAGATGCTGAGCTCTGCATGTATGCCTGTGAATTGTGAGGTTTATTGTCCTCAGAGATTGGTTTCTGATGGTTGTGTTGCAGGATAATGTGTTACATAAGAATCTTCTTATGGCACAATTCCCTTTGGGGTGTTTCATTAGAGCCAAGGGCGACCCCTTTATTCCCAGGTCACGGAAACGAGACAAACATTTGGGGGGGAACATTTGTGTATTTGAATAAATAAATAAAAAAAAGTTGATGCCTCTATAATAATAATGAATACTGATTGTTTCTGACAGCACAATAATTACAGCAGTTTTCACGAACAGTAAGAGTAAGAGGATATGTCAAGGAACCTGAGTACATCTAATGCTGTAGGCTATGTATTAGGATAGTAACTGTTACTGCATTGCAAATGAAACAACCCCCCAGATCAAGAGTTACAACATTTGCTTTATGATTGGAAATGAAGATGCTGAGCTCTGCATGTATGCCTGTGAATTGTGAGGTTTATTGTCCTCAGAGATTGGTTTCTGATGGTTGTGTTGCAGGATAATGTGTTACATAAGAATCTTCTTATGGCACAATTCCCTTTGGGGTGTTTCATTAGAGCCAAGGGCGACCCCTTTATTCCCAGGTCACGGAAACGAGACAAACATTTGGGGGGGAACATTTGTGTATTTGAATAAATAAATAAAAAAAAGTTGATGCCTCTATAATAATAATGACCCATAATCTGATGATTGTCATGATCGTTAAAAACTGAATATCTATTAAAATGTATATAGCAGCCAGCATTCGTTCATAAATACTTAGTGGACTGTTCTTCCAGGATGATGATGATGATGGAGGAGGAGATGAGAATAAGGCCCGGGGGAACTGGTCCAACAAACTGGATTTTATTCTGTCCATGGTGGGATATGCCGTGGGTTTGGGAAATGTGTGGAGATTCCCATATCTTGCTTTCCAGAATGGTGGAGGTGAGAAACAATCAAGGGGCATATTAAAAAAATATTAGGAAATATTTTGTTCTGCTACAGATCGATTTTTATGAGTCGGAATGTCAATGCGTAGTAATACACGCATACAAACTTTCGTTAGAGGCAATTTTTATTTTCTGTTACAAAATTTAAAAAAAATTGTTTTATAATTGCACGGATTTTATTTTAATGTACGAATTATAAGGGCAACGAAAGATTATTATTAGGCATTGTTTGTACACATTAATAGTGTATATATGTGTTATTGTATTATGTTTCATATTTATTGTGTTTATTATCCATTAGCCTATCTTATTATAATATTATAAAATAATATCATTCGTTCTATTGTTATATATTATGTTTATTTTAATTAAAACATATAAGAAAAGCTATAATTCAAACTTTAATATGTTTATTGTTCCCTTTTTTAAAGACGCACTACTCCCGAGTCATGACTTTTTCAATAGCAGCTGTTCTCTGTTTTTGTATAGGTGCGTTTTTGATACCTTACCTAATCATGTTAGGCCTCGCCGGTATACCTATATTCTTGCTGGAGGTGTCTTTGGGTCAGTTCGCCAGCCAAGGCCCGGTGTCAGTATGGAAAGCGATCCCAGCTCTACAAGGTAACCTGACGTTACTTTATTAATTGATGCTCTGTTATGAGCAAAGTTTGTTTGTGCTAATGTGTCATATGAGTGTTTCCAGTGAACTGGTAATCGACCTTCCGACTGCTTTAAGTGTAATTTCTATTATCTGGTTTCATTTTGTTATTATAGGTTGCGGGATTGCCATGTTGATAATATCTGTCTTGATAGCCATATACTATAATATTATTATGTGCTGGACATTGTACTACCTGTTCGCTTCGTTGAAGGAGACACTGCCATGGGCCACCTGTAAAAATGAATGGAACACCGTCGAGTGCAAAGACAAAGACATGCTGCTTTTGGGTAAGGATGAGCGTCTCTCTCTCTCTCTCTCTCTCTCTCTCTCCCTGTGAGTCCACCCCCCAACACCCCCTTTTTTTCTTCTAACTAAAATGCGCAATGCGCAACCTGTATTTCAGGAATTAAGTACCCTACCACTCAATTTAGGTTTATCAGTGTCATCCTGCTCTTTTTATACCCCAAATGCAACAGTTTTTCCCCATTGCGCCAAAAGTTCTTTTTTGATGACTTGACAGATTTTTGTCAGCTACAGAAACTGTAAAATCAAGTGCTTTTTCATTTTAGTGCCATCATGAATTAAGAATAGATTTTGTGTTTTTATTTTATTCATAATTATTGTGTCACACTGAAAGGTGCGATTAGTGAAATAAATGCTGTTTGCTTTACTTTCAGAATGAGTTTTGCTTAAAATCTAATTTGAATAAAATTGCTGGTGTTTTATTATGCGTTTGATTTAATTTGCTGACATTTTTACGTTTTAATTCGTTTTAAAACGCTTTTCTCAATGTCGTGCTATTGGTGAATTCAGCAGAAAATCTGCTTGCTTGACAAATTTACTGTAAGAGTTGGTGCAGTGCCGCAGTGAGATGCACTGCCACCTCGTGGCTTGTTTGAGTAGCGCCACTAAATTTGCACACGAATCAAAGACGTTGTGTACAGTATTACAGTTGTGTGTGTGTGTGTGTACTGCTTTATATATCCTGGTGGGGACTTAAACCTGACTACACACAGACTCATGGGGACTCGTGTCACGGTGGGGACCTAAATTGTGGTCCCCACGGGTACAAAAGCTTATAAATCATACAGAATTAAGTTTTTTGAAAATCTAAAAATGCAGAAAGTTTCCTGTGAGGGGTAGGTTTAGGGGTAGGGTTGGTGTAGGGCAATAGAATATACGGTCTGTACAGTATAAAAACCATTACTCCTATGGAGAGTCCCCACAAGGATAGCTGACCAGACTGTGTGTGTGAACTGTGTAGGCCTGTTTGTACGACGCTTGATTTATTTCGTTGACTTAATTTGTTTTAAGACTGTTTTTCAATTAGGTAGTGAATGACGATGGAATTTTTTCCACGCTCATTCCAAGTTCTGTCATTGTTTCTTCTGGCCAGACTCCTGTATACTAAGGGACAGAGACATCACATCAATCAAGAACACCACATTCTGTTTATCTGCAAATGCTGTTGGGAATTTAAATAAACTGTTAAATGTCACAATGGACAATAAAACCTATGTCAGCCCTAGTGAGGAGTATTTCAAGTAAGTGTGGTTTTCTATCTATCCATCTGTCTGTGTATTTAAAGATGGTCTGTGTGTAATTTTTCAGCTTAATTGGATACTAATCACTCTGCTTTCTTGACAGGTATAATGTGTTGCATATTTCCAAGGGTATTGAATACCCAGGTGACATCCGTTGGCCCTTGGCTGCTTGTCTTTTTCTGGCCTGGCTTATTGTTTATGCCTCTTTGGCAAAAGGGATCAAGTCCTCAGGGAAGGTAAGGAAACAGGTTGACTATTTTCTCTCCTTATTTCTCCTCTATGTACTATTAAGAGAGAAGCCTACAGCAGGCCTCATTCGGGTCCAGTGAAAAGATGACTTCCTTATTTCAGTCTTCAGTGTCACAGGACCCTTCAGAAATCATTCTAATTGATGATTAGTGCTGATTTGTGCTCAAGACATATTTATTATTGTTATATATTGTATATGTTAAAAACAGCTTATTGTTTTTTGTAAAAATCATTATATATTTTAAGAATCCTTTGATTAATAGAAAACTCAAAAGAACAACATTTATTTGCAATAGAGATCTTAAAAAAAATTATAATTGTTTTTCTGTCACTTTTAATCAGTTTAATTCTTCTTTGCTGAATACAAGTATTGTGCATACACATATTATGATATTGAAGTTTCAATTGCCGTTCGGATGTTGTATTGGTGAATGTGGGTGTCAAGACAAGTAACTATGCTTCTAAAGTCAGGTTTGGTCATTTATTATATTAATTAGCAGAGTTTCTTTCTTGGAAAGTTTCCCTCAGGCAGAACAGGTTAAAAGTAAGCCTTTGTGACATTATTATCATTTGGCAGGAACGTTAGACAAAACTGTAAGTGATTGGCAGCTAAATAGGAATATTCCCAGTATCACAGAGAAATGTGTAGCATAATTAGTAAATGTGTGCTTACTAATTTGGCTTAAGAAATATTAGATAGGTTAATAAGGATTTCTAAGCATGTAAGAAAAACAAAATGTGTTTTACTTTCTGAATTTTGGTCAGTAAAAGTCTTTTTATATTTCACAAGCACATTGTTTGTACCTACATAGTTGTGATGTACATGCACCTTGTTTTCAGGTGGTGTATTTCACTGCCACGTTCCCCTATGTGGTGTTGGTCATCCTTTTGATCCGAGGGGTCACTCTGCCCGGAGCCGGTTCTGGGATCCTTTACTTCATAACACCCAAATGGGAAAAACTCAATGATGCCAAGGTAATAAAAAGAATGGTGCTATTTATATTTGATGGTAAAATGTTACATGTTCTTCTCCAGAAGGCTTATTATTTCTCTTTCTCAATTGGTCTTTCTTTCTTTCTTTTACTCTTTTTCACTTTAGGTTTGGAAGGATGCTGCTACACAGATTTTCTTCTCTCTGTCTGCAGCATGGGGTGGTCTTATAACCCTCTCGTCCTACAATAAGTTCCATAACAACTGTTACAGGTAGCCAGCTCTGTCACTTTAGAATACACTACTGTTTAAATGTTAGGGCCAGTAAGATTGATTAATTAATTATTTATTTGAAAGCAATTAAATTTTTTTTTTCCAGGATACATTGGTCAAAAGTGACAGTAAAGACATTTATAATGTCACAAAAGATTACACATTGTACACATTCAATAGACACATCTGCTCAAAGTATGCATTATGGTTGATTATTAATGATGTAAGATTACACAATGGGCTCTGTCTCTTTGTTTTTCAGGGATACTCTCATTGTGACGTGTATTAACAGTGCCACAAGTGTATTTGCTGGTTTTGTCATTTTTTCAGTTATTGGCTTCATGGCTCATGAGCTCAAAGTCCCAATTGAGAGTGTGGCAGATGAAGGTAGGTAGTATGAATGTATGTGTTTTTTGTGGCTGGTGAACTATGATTAACTATGATCAGATGTCTGGTTGCTGCTTTTTCTAAATATACAAAACTCACCACATTGTCATTGTTTTCACTTTCATCACACCTAAAAGTCATTTGATCAGTCTGGTCTGTAAATATGCTCTTTTTGTTTAGGTCCAGGAATTGCTTTTGTGGTCTATCCAGAGGCTCTGACTAGGTTGCCCTTGTCACCATTCTGGGCCGTCATCTTCTTCCTCATGCTGCTTACACTTGGTCTGGATACTATGGTAATGGAAATCATAAATTGTATGATTTACAGTTTTTTTTTTCAGTTGTAATGTGATCACAGTAAAATAAATAAATAAATAAATAACTAAATTGCTTTTCATTCACACTTTCGTTCTTTCATTTGATTTTTTTCTCTCCAGTTTGCCACCATAGAAACTATAGTGACGTCTGTTTCTGATGAGTTCCCCAAGTACCTGCGCAAACACAAGCCTCTGTTCACTTTGGTTTGCTGTTTGTGCTTTTTTGTGCTGGGTTTCTCCATGATCACTGAGGTAGGACATTTACTCTTATTCCCATCTGCAAGATCTTTACCTTTATAGCACACTTTAATTAAAGCAGCTCTCTGGTAAACAATAAAAAAAAACAAGTAAATAGGAAAGTAAATAGACTGGAATGGAATATCCTAAAGCAGATAATTGGAAAGGTCTAGAATTAATGTTAGTGTGTTTGTTTTTTAATTAAAGTGATTCACTGGGTGATTTTTAGATTAGGTCTCATTTATTTTTATTTTAACTGTGCATATGTGTTTGTGTTTTCACGCACAGAGTGGAATGTACATGCTTCAGCTGGTGGACACTTTTGCAGCCTCTTATTCTCTGGTCATCATTGCTATATTCGAACTGATTGGAATCTCGTACATTTATGGTGAGTTTACAAAATTTGTCTTTAGACTTACTCCAGTCATTTATTTTAGTGCACAGCAGGAATCAGATTTTTAGGCAATGAAAAAGAAAATTACAAATAATTAAACAAACAAGCAGGCAGCAATGAATAGGTTCAAGCTAAAATGCAGGCTAAGCCTGTTAAGCCTTTTTAAGTTATAGGTTTTGATTAGTTTAGTAACTAATTTATAAGATATATAGCTGATAAATAGTAAATGCTGTGAAAGTAGACTAGCGAGTCGATGAGTTTACTTGTTCAGCCTGATGATGTTTAATGTCCCTGACAAAATCTATTTTCATTTAGCCACAAATGTAAAAATATCTTTGTTTGTGTGAACCATAGACCTTAATTCATGCATTTAACCAAAAACTATTCACAAAACCCATTCACTTAGGGAGGATGGAACCAGAAGTGCTAAAATCTTAATGCCTGTTGACTTTCTTCCTTCCTGTATTTGTGGTGCAGGACTACAGCGGTTCTGTGAGGACATTGAGATGATGATTGGGTTCCAGCCAAACAAGTTTTGGAGAATCTGCTGGGCCTTTGTCACACCAACTATTCTCACAGTATGTTCACCTTATACCTTATATGACCATTCCTGACCACACTTACATGCACAAATCCATCCGTACTATTACTTTTGGTTAGTGCTGCCACTGACCCTTCTCTCTCTCTCTCTCTCTCTCTCTCTCTCTCTCTCTCTAGTTTATCTTGGCACTTAGTCTGTACCAGTGGAAGGTGATGACATATGAGGATTACACTTATCCGACCTGGTCTATGGTTCTCGGCTGGCTTATGGTCATCTGTTCTGTCATATGGATTCCCATCATGTTTTTTATTAAGATGCACATTGCACCTGGATCGTTAATTGAGGTAAGGGAGAGATGTTTGGGTTGTTTTCTGTTTGAGTGTTATTAAAAATCGCTCAGTATTGCCTTTCAATAAGTAGATGGCTAGTTTTTTTTTTTACATTTTAGGTGGTGCAGAACTACAGCGGTTCTGTGAGGACATTGAGATGAAGATTGGGTTCCAGCCAAACAAGTTTTGGAGGATCTGCTGGGCCTTTGTCACACCAACTATTCTCACAGTATGTTCACCTTATACCTTATATGACCATTCCTGACCACACTTACATGCACAAATCCATCCGTACTATTACTTTTGGTTAGTGCTGCCACTGACCCTTCCTCTCTCTCTCTCTCTCTCTCTCTCTCTCTCTCTCTCTCGTTTATCTTGGCACTTAGTCTGTACCAGTGGAAGGTGATGACATATGAGGATTACACTTATCCGACCTGGTCTATGGTTCTCGGCTGGCTTATGGTCATCTGTTCTGTCATATGGATTCCCATCATGTTTTTTATTAAGATGCACATTGCACCTGGATCGTTAATTGAGGTAAGGGAGAGATGTTTGGGTTGTTTTCTGTTTGAGTGTTATTAAAAATCGCTCAGTATTGCCTTTCAATAAGTAGATGGCTAGTTTTTTTTTTTACATTTTAGGAAAAGTGTTTATTCCAGGTCCTTTCCTCTTTTTTCGCCCAAAGTTTCCCCCCATTTTAATCTCCTTATGCTATTATTTGTTCATTGTATTTAGTCCTGTGGTGTGAGAGCCAGTGTTATTTTAATTTCATTGAGATACTATTATAGTTTTATTAATATTTTGAATTCATTTTTACTTTTAAATGTTTCGTTTTCATTTTACATTTTTAAAAATTTGTCTAAATAGTTTATTCATTTTTATTTCAGTTTAACTGCATGAAAATAAGAAATGTTGCCTTGGCAACTAGCTGACATTAGTTTTTTTTAGAAACTTAGACATTTTTAGAAATTGTATTTTATTTCAGTTAATATTCATTTCAAGTAATGAAAAAAATATTTTTATGGTTTTATTTTTATTTTTACTATAATAACCCTGGTAAGATATACTATTATAGTTTTATTAATATTTTGAATTCGTTTTTACTTTTAAATGTTTCGTTTTCATTTTACATTTTTTAAAATTTGTCTAAATAGTTTATTCATTTTTATTTCAGTTTAACTGCATGAAAATAAGAAATGTTGCCTTGGCAACTAGCTGACATTAGTTTTTTTAGAAATTGTATTTTATTTCAGTTAATATTCATTTCAAGTAATGAAAAAATTTTTTTTATGGTTTTATTTTTATTTTTACTATAATAACCCTGGTAAGAACTAAATTTTGCATGCATAATTATAAAGAATTATCGAAATCTTATGGATATAAATGTTTTATACACATGAACAATGTTTACAACAAAATAATGAATCAAAGTGAATCTTTTTCAGTAATTCTATTAAATTCTATTTTTGAAAAAGGCCAAACAAATTAATCAGTATCTAGGATGCAAACCAAGCACTCAGCATGCAATTTAGATGCCCCTTCTCGTTCTCTGCAGCGTCTGAAGTTGGTGTGCTCTCCTCAACCCGACTGGGGTCCATTCCTGATGAAACACCGCGGGGAACGCTACAAGAACATGATCGACCCTCTGGGTACCAACTCCCTTGGCCTCAAACTTCCCCCCAAAGATTTCCAGCTATCAGCCCAATATCAATAAACCAATAAGGCCTCTGAGGGTGAGCACTCACGTCAAACTCTTTCCCTATTCAACCTCCCCTCTTTTCCATAGCGTTCTCTTTCAGCCATATTCCCCCTCTTCTGACACTATTAGAGGGGTTTTTCAGGTGGAAAGCACAGACAACTCCCTATGATTTTTTGTTTTCTGAATAATTATTCGTAGTCAGTCTGAGAGTGGGTCTTTCGTGCACATTCTAATACACTGATCCCAGCTGTACCTTTTTCTCAGAGGCAATATGCAGTTGCAAATGTTGAGGCAATATTTGACTGATTGTGCATCATGCAGTGGTTGTTTTTTTTAATTATTTTTTCATTCCGAAGTGACTGCTGATGTTAAAAAGAAAATAATGAAGAGAATAACATTTATATGTATTGTCTATTTGCTTGTCATCTCTTAAATGTAGCAAACATAATGAGATAAACTGCTGAGTAGTGCACAGTGAACTCGAACTCTTTTCTGGTATCGTACTATCGCTCTCCACTTGTGTCCACTTATAGCCATACCTTGTGCCTCAGACTTCCTCTGTTTATAAAATACTGCATAGTATAGTGCTAATTAAACCAATTGTACTACATTATGGAGGGAAGTGAGCACATTTCAGTCTCTGTGAATTATAAGCTATCCTACTCTTTTTCCTGTCGGAAATATCTCTACAATGTTATAGAAGCCAAACTCATAGTGTAGGCTCCAGTAGTATAGATCCATCCCTGTCTTCAAGAAAACTTAGCCATGCAAAACTGTAATAATACCATTCAATGTTGTTTAGAGTAGTACTCAACAGCCAACTAGCAGTTATGTATGTATACTAATATTATAGAGTATGCTTTGGAGTTTGTGTGTCGTGATCTGTTCATAGACTTTGTGAATCCTCCTATCCTTATGCAGTACGCGGTTATAGTGGAGCGCACAAACGAAAAGTAGAGGAAAATCAAGGAGTGTGGTATGTGTGGCAAACTAATCGTCTCATAAAAAGTGTATATGTGACCCTGGACCACAAAACCAGTCATAAGGGTCAATTTCTCGAAATTGAGATTTATACATCATCTGAAAGCTGAATAAATAAGCTTTCCATTGATGTATAGTTTGTTAAGATAGGGATACAACTATTTGAACATCTGGAATCTGAGGGTGCAAAAAAATCTAAATACTGAGAAAATCACCTTTCTTAGCAATGCATATCACTAATCAAAAAATAAAAAATTATATTATTTTAATATATTTACAGTAGGAAATTTACAAAATATCTTCATGGAACATGATTTTTACTTAATATCCTAATGATTATTGGCATAAAAGAAAAATCGATAATTTTGACCCATACAATGTTTTTTTTGGCTATTGCTACAAATATACCCCAGCGACTTAAGACTGGTTTTGTGCTCCAGGGTCACATATTTTAGAAACGTCAACTAGCTTACATAATATTTTTAACAATTGCTTGCAGAGGATATGCAGATTTGAAAAAAAAGTTTTTCATCAGAAATCCTGTGCTTGGGGACCACACTCCTTTTTTATTTATTTATTTTTTATATATTTTTTCTCTCTGTCTGTTCGCCATGAAACAGGGTCTCAGGTATTACTCCATTCCATCAACCTTATTAGATGTTGGATTAGAATTGAACATATTTATGGAAACTTGATGTGATTCACATATAACTAGGGCTGCACAATGAGTCGTATTTTAATCGTGATCATGATTTCTGCTTCTCTCGATTTATTAATCATAATCGCCTGTGATATTTGCCCGCTTTCTATTTAATTGAGCATTTGCATTATCTTGCACTATAGTAACAAGCTTCCGTTCATGGTTGTTGTTGCCAGATATCAAGCGTTTAAATACCCCAATCAGAGTATTTCTTTTCATAAATCGATACTTGGTTCACTTAATCTTCCTAACCATGTACACACTCTCTCTAGATTACGATAAAAGCACTGATGAACTGAAAACACTGGCAGACATGTAGGTTGGAGTTTAAAGATATTCTATTGAGATGTTCTGCTCAAATAAAAGTGAAATACAACCAGTCTGCTTTCTTTAAAGCGGCCGTTTGTGCTGTTTGCTGCAATTAAATCTGCGAGCAAACCATGTGAGTTGACTTTCTCTTATTTTGTGTTTATGTGAAAGTGCAATATTTCTGATGAAATTAAAAATATATATATTTTAAGCAAAGAAGTTAACTTTTTAACCGTGATGAACCATTTAACCATTATCGTGCAGCCCTACATATAACTGATTCTCTATACGATTTGTGAAAGTGGACATTTTCAGAATATTATGCCATATAATGACAATTTGAATCCTTATATATCATTTCCAGCTACTGGACTGTAAATATGGTTGCAGATAAAATGCTTTTGTAGTATTGCTTTAGGCAACAGTTATTATATTATATATATTGGTTAGTTGTTGTGCTCATCAGTCGCAGCACTACAAAAAGCACTTTGATTAAACGTCACATAAAAATAAGTGATTATTCTCCTCCACCACAGTGAAAAAAAAGTACTACTTTTATTTTTAGTTCAGAATGTATACCTAAACGATTAGTACTGTGGATATTGTTTAGTTAGTAAAAAGAGCCACACTGCCCATGCAATGCAAGTAATAACATTGAGACTTTGCCTGGGCACGATGGGTTTCAAAAGCCATGTAATATGCAGATACTACACTAATCACCTTGAATATAAAGCATTTATAAAACAGAAAAAGAAAAAAGATATTCCTCAGTATATTAGTGTCACAAAAGAGATGCTTTTTCTGATACATGTTTAATCTTACTCTCTGTGTAGTATATGTGTGTGTGAATGTGTGGATATAATATGCAGTGCTTAATGTTTAGATTTATACTTATCCAACCATCCAGACATGGCCAAATGCAGCCTGGCAGTCAGTTTGTGGTTTTCCTATTCATTGCATTGGTTTATCTGCAAGAGCTGATTTTACTCGAATAGAAGCTCTGGGTTATGTAGCACAACAAACAGTATCCAAAGCACACGAATAGTAGATGGTTACTGCGATCGTTGTAATATTCAAGGTTTTGGATGGAGTTTCTGTTTGTCCTTGTGTTGCTGTACGTCTGTCCGAGAGCTATTCTTACAAGCCCTTTCACGTACCAAATATTCTGTGGAAAAAAAAAAAATAGGTAACAGTCTTGCATGTGCTGTTTGTGTTTCTGTGGATTATTTGTCCATGTATGCTTCCCCTTTATGCTCCTTTTCTCGAATGTGTCCCTCGCTTAGCAGCTGCAGCTGAGTTTACCACCTCTTCCTACCTACAGGGCGACACTGGGCAGTAGGCAACCAAAGAAGGAGAACTTCTCAAAGGGTTCTGAAAAAAAAAGCTTAAAAAAGAACAAATGTTCTAAAAGAAAAACATATATATGTATATATATACAAATAGCCTATATGAAGAAATGATATATATTATTCTGTGTATTTAGGAGACTGAGATACTGCCACTCATCCTTCATTTAGTGGTCATTATTGATGTGTGTCAATATGTTATATGACATCTTCAGGTAACCTTTGGCCTTATAGATGTCCTCTGGTAATAAACTATTATGTGTATTTCAGAATAATGATACAGAGTAGCTTCCAATCAGTCATTATGTGGTCAGTCTATATTGTATGTATGTTGTGTCATTTGGCACTTTACTGTGGACCTATCGGAGCATAGGTAAAATTTCTTATTACTTGGGTAATGTCATATATTTCTGTGTTTTACATGAGGGAAATCTGCCTATGGATACAGATATGGACCTCCAAAAGATCATGGCATCATTTGAGTTGAATTGTAGAGTATAAATATGAAACATATCTAGATTTTGAATCCTGTACCAGTCAAAAAAAAAAAAAAAAAGCAAAATGTATAAAAAGAAGAAAATAAACATATATGAAAAGGCATAATTTATTTTAAATGTCATTAATCCTTGAGGCCCTACCTCAGATTTTGTATGTATGTATAGAAATTTGAATCATAGTATCTTTGCCAATAATACAATAAAAGACCATATTTATCATAAAATGTATAACCTCTTAATCAATAAATAAATGTTAATGTTTTCAACTCCAGTTGTGTTATATGCCTGAGGTGTTTTGAGTAATATTTTGTTCAAAAACACACATGCACACATACTGTACAAACTTACACATGCTTCACAAGACAAAATGGTTGCAGTTAAAATTTCATATCAAGGGAAAATATCAACAGAAGTATCTTTGTCAAAGAAGTACACTGGAAGTTGTAAATAAAATAAAGAGTATGTTTTAAAAGAAAATACTATTTCAGTCATTCTACTTCAAAATGTCACATCGAATTCAACGTTATATGTTGTTACTTTGTAATAATTTGTAAACATTTTTAATGTAAAAAGTAAATCCTACATCCATTTTTTTTCAGTGTACTGTACCCTCCTGCTCTTGTGTGTTTTTCATGCATGTGAAACATTAGCACACAAGAACTTGATCGAAAACATTTTCTGATGCATTAGACAACAGAAATATTGTATTGAAGCAGTCAGTTGGGCATGACATTGCAGACTGTTCTAGTACACAGCATATTCACTGCACAGCACAAATTATACAGGTCAAAACTGGCATTTAGCATTTTAATTGTTAGAAAATTTTTTTTATTTGAATTGGTTATACTGCAGGTCAATTCCTTACAAGATTAAATTATTTTAAATGATCATTTCAAATCCACTAATTCTCTTGATGTCTCACAGCTCCGTGTATTACCTGAGGCTCTTGGCCTTCTTTCGATCTCTGTTTAGTTTTCGTCTGATTGTGAGCAAATGTTAATGCTGCATAGTTCACCTCCTCTGTTTTTGACTAAAACAAAACCAAAACAAACGTAAAAGATAGATTACAACATTTAACAGCTATTAAATATTTGAAAGCACCAAATCATGTAGAATATGAAGAAAATTTCTTACATTTTGACTGAAAAAACGGACAAAAGTGAGACTAGAAATACAAAGACTGCATGGGCATACTTTGAAAAAATTCACCCAAAGCCACAAGAACTGGAGCAGAACTGTTTTGTAATTTTAACCAGAACACTTTAAAGTGTCCATCGTCTGGGGTGAAGCAGTGAAGAGTTGTGGAGTGTCCAGGCTGAACTCTCACTGCTGACTCTGGTTGAGACACATGCTATAAAATGCCCACAGCAAATACACCAAAACATTAAAAAATAAAAAATAAAATGGTAACTACCTTCAAAAACAGCATCCCAGTCCTTAGACTATGTACAGTACACACGGAATAACTCTGCCTAAGTGATTTTTAATTAATTGTTTGCGTCAGAAAGTAATTTGCCTAAGATTTAAAGAAAAATCTTAAGTTCATACTCACACAGGTTAAGTATAATGCATGTGATGTATGATAATTTAGTCATCTTAACTGATCTGTAGAAGACTACATATGCAACAGGCCTTTCTGCAGGACAAAAGATCAATCTTGAAAGCATTATAGATTGAGTGTTGGGGTGGCGGCTTTGTGCAAATTATGCAACTTGACCGCTTTAGCCACATCTTCCTAACAATATTATGCTGTAAAACATGCCAACTAATGAACTGGTGCCCCCTACATGCAGTCATTGAAAAAACACAGGCTCAGAACACCTCCCTGCCACCTCAAACCACTACAGAACAACTAGCCGTACAGTGCTTTGATCAGTCAGTTTCCCTCAAAATATAAGAATCCCTCAAATTTATTGACCTAATTGAATGCAAATAAAAACATTTATTCTTGTAAACTCTAAGCTCATATAGGTACTGTAGCAGTTTCCTCAGTCTAGCAATATTTTACTGTAGGTCAGGGGTGTCCAGACCTGTTGCTTGAGGGGCACTGTCCTGTAGAGTTTCGCTCCAATAGGAATTGAAGCTCTCTGTAGGATACTGGCCCTCCAGGAGCAGGATTGGACATCCCTCCTGTGGGTCATGTGATTTTGGGTTTAAAAACAACAGTAGTCGAAAATAAATCAATATTAACATTTGATATTACAAATGGGCCTTAGCAAGATCTTTGCTTTGAGAAATATGAAATATGGAATGAACTTCAAACTTCCTTTAACTTGCACCTTCAGGTAAAGAGCATCTAGTTAAATGATCTGTTAGCAAAGTACAAAATCCTATTAACGTGGCATATTTTGAACCAGGGCAAAAACACCTATGCATGGCGATTCAGTATATTAAAGAGGCGCTTGAATAATCACTATTTATGGAGGGTTGCTTGGTAATGCTGGAGGAGAAACTCTAAATATAGCCAGATCACTGCTGTCTGCACTTCGCTTTGATGCTTGGGTTTCACTGCAATAAGATGATGTATGGAAACTTACCCACAGAGACCTAAGAGCGCTTAAGGCTTGTTTATTCTAACGCTTGTTTATTCTAAGTTACTTTCAGAAACAAAAGCTGACCACAACCTGAGCGCTGTGCAACAAATTAATTGTCTTACATGTATTTAGTGGCATAAGTCTGTTTCCGAAACCATTAGTCAATGTGTGAAAGGAACCAACATGTGGTATTATGCAGTTGCACACTTTAACAGTGCATTGTGATAAAATTGCAGTGACACTGAGACTTCAAAACATCTTACTAAAGATAAGACACATTACTATATTAGATCATCATATGACTTAAATATTGACACTTGCAAAGATGCAAAGGTGTCACGTTTCAGTGGAGCACAGTGATAAACAGTTCATTATGAGAAATATTGCATTAAGAGAAATATTGTTTCTCTTCCTCACGCTAAGAAAAGTCTGTAAAAATAGGGCCCATAGAATTTTAGAATAGCATAGAATTTTCAGTATTGATTTTTTTCCAAAGCTGTTTTCCCCATGTTTTGAATTACATGTGGCATTGTGTTGTGTTTTAGAGTTAAAGAAAATTTCTGTAAACTAAACGGACAATGTCCTTACAGAAGATTACCAGCTCTTTGTCTGTTTTTCTACAATGCCGGCCAGGAGCATGTAACATGTTTTGGACTGCAGGTTGGATCAAGATAAGTGACAGATCGTATTAAGCAAGAGTAAAGTTTTTGATTTTATTAATGAGCCTGGCCTGCTACTTTTCAAAGTATTACTATATATTATACTATGAATGATATATTTACAAATAATAAAAAAATATATAAATATAGCATTAAAAGTTCATTTCTTAAAAAGATTAATATTTTTTAATTTAAAGGTTATTGTCATTGCTGTCTCATAATAATATTCATTTTTAAAAAAAATTCAAATTCAAGTTATTGTCATCTGTGACTTAACACCTCACTTAAAAACAAGTGGTTATGGAAAGTAGTGTGAAAGGCATGTAGTGTGATGGTGTTTGTGTGGTTGAGAGATGAGCTGGGGGTCAGTCTGGTGGGTGGAAAACAGTCAAACTGTGATGCTCTCATGTGCTAGCAGGTGCACACACACTGGTATGCAGATATCTAAGAAAGCTTGTATCTGATTTAAACAGTTTACACACACATTTAATCAGATTTAAACAATATTTTAATATTTTCTTTAAATTGTAATATTATCAATATTCATAATGATCAGGCTATACTGCTGCTGCTCACAAAGTACTAAATTGTTGTCAAATCAAATGTGAGCATAGATAATAAGATTTTTAATAATTTGTACAGCTACACTGCAAAAAATCTAAAGTTGAGAAACTTAAGTTTAAGGCAACCAGCTTGAGGACATTTCAGTTTATACAACAAAAAGAAAAAATCTCCTACAAAAAAAAATTGAGAAAACTCTAAAAAAATCTCCTGAATCTGGTTGCCTTAAACTGTTAAGTTTTCTCAACTTTTGATTTTTTTTACAGTGCGTGTTTTGGTGTGTATATTTACAGCTTTGTAATTTGGTCCGCTCAAGTTCCCCTCAGCATGTCTCATTCTACACTGAACAGCTTCTTCCTGTCTGGGTCTTTATAGGAAATGATATCATTCACAACCCCTGCCTTTTGAGTAAGGGCCTGCTTATATCTAACTTACAGAGAACATATCAAATATAAATTAAACGTCTTAGAACCTTCAAATGCATCTGATCTTTACAACTTTTATTGTGTTGAACAGTGCGTGTTTTGGTGTGTATATTTACAGCTTTGTAATTTGGTCCGCTCAAGTTCCCCTCAGCACGTCTCATTCTACACTGAACAGCTTCTTCCTGTCTGGGTCTTTATAGGAAATGATATCATTCACAACCCCTGCCTTTTGAGTAAGGGCCTGCTTATATCTAACTTACAGAGAACATATCAAATATAAATTAAACGTCTTAGAACCTTCAAATGCATCTGATCTTTACAACTTTTATTGTGTTGAAAATACTCAACATTGCAGAGCTCACATTCACTTTAATTGTATGGCATTAGTAATAGCATATACTGTATATATATATTAGAGTCTTGATGAACATATGGCTTTTAAACATTACAGTAGGCTACAGTATTTGACCGTGTGCCGCATCTAGTGGCAGAATACACAACATCTGTATCCTCTCTATTTCTGGCTGCTCTTCTGGATTTGTGTTTTGAGAATTGTAGAGCGGCATACACTGACGAATGAGGCTCCTGCAACAGATTGAAAGATGTATTTAACAACATTTAAAAACGAATTTAATTAAAACATGTACAGAAGAAAATCAGATAAACAAAACAATCAAGAAACAAGGATTTTGTGTATATGTAAAGCTTATTACCATCCGAATACATTCTCTCACTTTATACCATTACTATTTTTGGGCCTTATTTTTACTTCCAACAATTAACCATATAAAATGTCCCTAATATAGAGCGATATTCTGCTCAAGAGTTGCATTCACATGAAATTATTTCAACTATGCTGCCCTTTTTAAAGACATGGTTAGAGCTAAACAGAAAAGGCCCGCAGGCCGTGTGCAAAACAATCGCAAGAAACATTTCACCTGAAGAATGTTAGATGTAAAAGTAATATTTCAATATAAATAATTTATGGTTTATAACTATTGTCATTATTAATCATTTGAATAGCATTTAAATCTTTTTGTAGACCAGTCAGCCTGGTCTTTAATTTCAAGGATTTTTGTCAATACTATTGATGTTACAGTTCTTAGAGGACTTCTGAGTTAAAAAAAAAAAAAAAAAAAAACTTTACTTTTTGGTTATGGCTTCAAATGTGCTTTTTCTGCATTCAGAGAATGAACATTCTTATTTTAACAATAAGTTTACCTCATGCTGTTGTGTTTCATGGCCATCTGCATCTGCGGCGATAGAAATGGAGACTAAAAAAAGAGGTTTAGCTTTTAATAAACGTACAATTATTTCACTGCACAGTTATTTCCCAAATTAGATCCATTCCATCATAGTGTATATAGCCTAAATCTTCTGAACTGAATAGATGCACTGTTACCTTTTCCCTGCGTGTTTCTGTTCTGTATCTTAATCATGAGCGTGGTGAGCAGAATGATGGTAAGAATAAAAATAATACCACCAAAAATAAAGGTCAGCTTATAAAAGATGTTTTCAGGCTGTTGTGTTTCATGGCCATCAGCATCTGCGGCGATAGAAATGGAGACTAAAAAAAAGAGGTTTAGCTTTTAATAAACGTACAATTATTTCACTGCACAGTTATTTCCCAAATTAGATCCATTCCATAGTGTATATAGCCTAAATCTTCTGAACTGAATAGATGCACTGTTACCTTTTCCCTGCGTGTTTCTGTTCTGTATCTTAATCATGAGCGTGGTGAGCAGAATGATGGTAAGAATAAAAATAATACCACCAAAAATAAAGGTCAGCTTATAAAAGATGTTTTCAGAACAGTCTCTTGTAGAAATCGGCCTCTTGTTCAGATCTGTTCAAATTAAATTACATTTTACTTTAACAAACCGCCATTCAGATAAAAGCATTATTGTAAATGAATGTTATGAGTGTTAAAGAAACTCAGATGATAAACACCTTTATTTGTATTTTCTGTTTCATTTTGCAGTGGTGTTACACTCCTCTCTGCACAATAAATAAAGACTTTAAATATATTTAGTCATTAGTAATTTAACACATTAAAAATTATCCACAAATATGTGTACTATGTAATTTATTTTTTGTTATATTTTGCTACTTGACATGGAGCAAAAACATTCCTTTACAATAGTGTTACTGATAAGGACAGATTACCTTTAATTTCTAGCTGCGTTCCATCACCAAATGTCATCATCCAAGAGTTCCAACCACAGAAGTACAGACCAGAATCAGAAACATCCACATTTAAAATTCGTAGGGAGGTGTTTTTGGTGTTCAGAGACATCAGCAGATGATCTTGTTGAAAACCATTTAAATAATTAGTATGCAGTTCCTTAAGCTCGTAGCTTATCATCATGTATACAATGGCAATAGGTACAGAACTCTTTGTTTGCTTGAACCAGTGTATGTTTCTTCCAGCTTTTGAGTTGTGTTGACAGCAAATAGTGACATTCTCTCCTGGTTGAGCTGATACATTGTCTATCTGAGATGCTTTAACAGCTGTAAGCAAGCCTAAAACCCACAGAGGAATAACAGTGTTTTAATATTTATATTTAAAATCCTGATAAAAATTTTCCCCAAAAAGTCCCAAAAGCTCATAAAACTATTTCACACCTAATGTTTACTAATTATTATTGAATTAATCATTCATTAATCTTGCATGATTGAAGTAATTATAGTGCCGTAATGCTTACCCGTGCCACAGATCACCAGTGCTGAAATTATTATATGTACCATTGCAGTACTGAATCAGACTAGAACCAACGAGGAAATTAAGATGAGGAAATCAATGTGCTTTTTTTTATGTGAGGGGGTGTGGCTTATGCTTACGTCAAACTATGACAGACCTGTCAATCAACAGGCGAGTCCATGGCTACTAGTTCAAAATAAGAAGATTCACTGTTGATCAGATATATTGATAATAATGTGATGTTTTCTTTACTGCTTTGGCTGCCTATAGTTTCTCCATAGCACTTTTGAGAATATACGTATGTTCCAAAGCAGCAAAGAACTAAAAGCATGTTTGACTGTAATGTGTCTTTGAATATATATATATATTTAAAATCATTTCTGAATTATATTATTGACACGATACATTTTACCTTAATTGATAAAAATCCTGATTTTAATTCTCTGAAGGCCCAGAAAGTGACACACAGTTGGGACCAGAGGCGGACAATAGTGAAGTATTTTTAGTAAAAAGTATCTGTAGTTTATCAGAGTTTTTTTCTTTGGAAAACTTTACTTCACTACATTCCAGAGCATAATTTCATACTTTTTACTGCACTTCATTTCATAAATAAAAGTTGTTGTTTGTTTTACCTTTAATACTTAAGAACATTAAAAATGTAGTACTTTATTGTACTCAAGTAAATCTTTGAATTACTTTTACTTGAGTAAAAGAAAGAAAGTAATAGATTTCTAATGTAATTAAGTATTAAATTATATTTAATATGAAACGTAGTGCAGTAAAAAGTACAATATTATGCTTTGGAATGTTGTGAAGTAAAGTTTTCTAAAGAAAAACACTAAAGTACAGACACCCGAAAAGTACTTTTAATTTAAAATCATTTCTGAATTATATTATTGACACGATACATTTTACCTTAATTGATAAAAATCCTGATTTTAATTCTCTGAAGGCCCAGAAAGTGACACACAGTTGGGACCAGAGGCGGACAGTAGTGAAGTATTTTTAGTAAAAAGTATCTGTAGTTTATCAGAGTTTTTTTCTTTGGAAAACTTTACTTCACTACATTCCAGAGCATAATTTCATACTTTTTACTGCACTTCATTTCATAAATAAAAGTTGTTGTTTGTTTTACCTTTAATACTTAAGAACATTAAAAATGTAGTACTTTATTGTACTCAAGTAAATCTTTGAATTACTTTTACTTGAGTAAAAGAAAGAAAGTAATAGATTTCTAATGTAATTAAGTATTAAATTATATTTAATATGAAACGTAGTGCAGTAAAAAGTACAATATTATGCTTTGGAATGTTGTGAAGTAAAGTTTTCTAAAGAAAAACACTAAAGTACAGACACCCGAAAAGTACTTTTACAGCAGAGTAAAAATACTTCACTACTGTCCGCCTCTGGTTGGGACTGTAGCTTTCTGCATAACCATTCAACTTAAGGTGAATGAAAGTGACAACCCAGGCTCATGAAAAAACCTGCAACAAAGTGACTATGTAGAACTGCTATTTAGCCACGAGTGAGCAAACTTTAAATGGTATTAGTTAACACTACAATTTATGAGTTTGTAACCATGAGATCCATGTATAATAACCAGTGTGACACTTTAAGCGGCATCCAAACTGAGATGCAACCTAAAACTCTGATGTTTAATTGTTAGCTCAACCTAAATTCAAGGGCTTTGTGTAATGGTGTTCGAGTGAATTAATAGTAGGAGTCAAAGTATTGCAACCAAATTTAATAATCTTAACCAGTATTTACAATAGTGCAAAGAAAAGACAGATCTCTGATCACCACAATAATTACATTTTTAAAGAGTAAAACAGTGATGCTGTTTAGCTGTTAGTTAAAAATAAACCATAGTTATTTAACAAATAATATGTTTTCAAGTAGTATTGGTGTACACAGCAATTGGGTCCTTAGTATGTTGTCCTGCTGTTTTGAGTCTCTTTTTTGAGAAATACACAGCAGCATATTCTACTGAATCATTTTCCTGCAAAGAAGTACAAACATGTATGTCAGGATCCTAATCCAGGTGATCATACGACAACATACATTTTATTCTGGAGTCTTTGTAAACTGTTTTCCTTTTCCTTACCCTCTAAACAAATTCTACAGGAAAAAAAAATGCTATTCACATCCTTAACAGCCAACAGAATTAGAAATAATATTGTTTAGTTGGAATCATAAGATAATAATAATAATAAAACTCATATAGCAATAATTAATTAGCAGTAATTAATGCATAAATTAATTAAATATTTTGTTCTTAATAAATATTTTGTTCATTATGATAAAAAAGTGTGATCTGGGATAAAAAAAAAAAGCTTTGCTTGTTTTCATAAGGTGAAGCTGGGATTGTCTGTAAATTATTTTACTTAGCCTTTAGAGTAATGTAAGTCTGTGGAGTTTACCTTGTCATCATGCTGTTGTGCTTGACATTCAGCGACTGGCACAAAGCAGAGAAAAAGACAATCAGTTGCTGTACGATAATGAAATTAAAAAGTCATCATTTCAAAGCCATTTTTAATATTCACTTCAAATTTGTGATTTAACTTAATTTTTCTATGTGCAAAGAGTTTACCTTTTTTATGCTTCTGCTTCCTGTGTTCCCTGATAATCGCCAAAATAAGAGGAACAATACATGTAAAAAAAATGATTCCACCAAATAGGAGTGTCAGTTTGAAATAGATGCCTCTAGAACAGTCCTCAGTAGACACGGATGATTGCTCATGATCTGTAAAGAGTGGATATCATTTCAAAATTCAAATACATTTTAAGTGATGCCACAAAGAACACATTTTATATATTTATTTTTCCCAGTAAGTTGAATCAACAGATTAAACAAGAACATTAATAAATATGAAACACCTGCAGTTTTAATTTTAATATTAAAGATAAAATAACATACCCTTTTTTGAGGTTCCTGTGTAATTTTTCTCTGATATGAAAACAGTTGGCAAGGATAATTCAATTACCATTGTGGCATTTACAAAGGTATTTAAATTGTGACCCTGGACCACAAAATCAGTCATATGGGTATTTTTTTTTTAAATTGAGATTTATACATAATCTGAATAAAGCTGAATAAATAAGCTTTCCATTGATGTATGGTTTGTTAGGATAGGACAATATTTGGCCGAGAGACAATTATTTGAAAATCTGGAATCTGAGGGTGCAAAAAAATCTAAATATTGAGAAAATCGCTTTTAAAGTTGTCCAAATTAAGTCCTTATCAATGCATATTACTAATCAAAAATTAAGTTTTGATATATTTACAGTAGGACATTTACAAAATATCTTCATGTAACATGATCTTTACTTACTATCCTAATTATTTTTGGCATAAAAGAAAAATCGGTAATTTTGACCCATACAATTTATTGTTAGCAATTGCTACAAATATACCTGTGCTACTTATGACTGCTTTTGTGCTCCAGGGTCACAAGTGTGGTGTTTTTCCTACATGCACTATTAATGACAAAGTGAAACAAAGAGCTATACATATGATATGAACGTGAGAGTATAATGAAAGAGGTACAAAAATGATTACCTTTCACTTGAAGCTTTGTTCCATTGCCAAATTTCATGTGATATCCTGTAGCTCCACAAAAGTAGAAGCCAGAATCAGACATTTTCACTTGCTTAATTGTTAGGGCAGTGCTTTTGCTTGACTGATCCATGACCATGCGGTCTTTTGTGAAATTGTTGAAATAATTTGGCTCAACCTTCTGAAGACTTTCGGTGTATAACATGTGCACAATAGTAATGGGTACAGCACCGTCTATTTGTTTGAACCAGTACAGATCTCCAGAAACATGAATATTGTGTGAACACCACATAGTGACACTTTGTCCTGGATGAGCCTGTATACTTGCTTTCGAAAACATAACTTGGAGAAACCCTGAAAAGAAAAGAAAAACCATAGCACACCACAAAACAATATCATTAAATTATGGTGACGCGGAATGAAAACGTTTTTTTTAGGAGTCGTGGTATTAGAGGCGGCACAACTATAATGACATGTGAATAATCCCGCCCACTCTAAAGCGGTACTGAATTGCAGTGGAAACACAAACCGTGCCGAGCCGAACCGTGCCGTACTGAGTCGTGCCGAGCCGAGTCGTACCACACAGTGGAAAAGCACCAATAGTCACTATGTTAAGACTGTGTCTTAAGAACTAGTTTGTCCAACTAGCAGTTAGCCAAGGGGTATCCAGTCTAAATTTTCAATTGAAATTAGAGCAGTCTACCTTATTGTAACTGATTTAAAAAAGTTATGACCAGTCTAGAAGAAAAAAATTACATGACTAACTTTTTAAGACTAGTCTAAGCAGTTTATGCAACCGGCCCCAGGTTGCAAGTCTGCTGCAATAGGTATGATGTCACGCTCATTCAGTTAAAGGGATCATATGTTGCGATTTCAAGTTTTCCTTTCTCTTTGGAGTGTTACAAGCTCTTGGTGCATAAAGAAGATCTGTAAAGTTGCAACCTAAAGTCAACCACGCCTACTTAAAACGGCTCGTTCTAACACGCCCCCACATGTCTACGTCACTATGTGGAAATTTTTTGTATAATGCCGCCCAAATGTGTACGCAAAGAAAGAAGACGTGGTTTCAGGAACTGCAGTAGTGTTGATGCAGCCATGTCAGGGAGACGCTTTGTGTTTCAGTGCGAAAGCAAAAGCACATTATTTGGCCTTCCGGAAGTAGATGCAATTAGGAATCATTGGTTAAGATTTATTTACAATAGAACAGCACAACCCAGATGTTCGAATTTGTGCAATGCAATTTATGGATATTCTAAAAAAAAGATCTTTAAAATAACATCATATGACCCCTTTAAAATATCTTGAGTAGATTACTATCCCTCCTTACAGCCCCCTATGGTTTTCAAAATCATTGCCAGCACCCTCGTTTTATACAACAGTGCTTCTCAAACCTGTCCTTGGGACCCTTAACCACTGCACATTTTGTATGTCTCCATCATAGCATTTACACAATATGAAGAGATACCTGTCTTCATAAAAATCAGATCACAGTTTTGATGACAGCACGGTTTTGTGATCACATGTTGATTTCCCTTCATCTTCTATGCATGTGATCAAGAAGCGCTTATAACGCAAGAAGGTCAAGCTGAAAAACCACAACTCTTACAATAACCCTTCTTTAATTCAGTTCTTCATTGATATTATCATCATATATATTTTAATGTAGCCTGTTAGAAGGAGCTTAATATCAGGCTCACCTGAAAATATTGCAGATAATTGCTTGACATTCACATTTACATGGTAGAACTTATAAAAAAAATTGGTGTCTGCTGTCTTCACAAAAATCTGATTGATATATTGCACAAAATCAGCAAGATTTCGCTTCATCAGCTATGTACTTCTCATTCTAAATAATACAATGATTTGAAATTGGAGTAAGATTAAACGCAGAGCTAAAATTATATAGAAACAAAGTAAATGTAACTTTTTTTATTCAAAAGTGAGGGAAAAAATAACAATACAAATTACTGATACAGTGCAGAGACAAAGAAAGCGAAGGGTAGAGAAGAACAAAAGAAAAAAGAAACAACCATTTAAAGGCAGTAGAAGTTAAATTATGATAAAAAAAAGTAATCAACAAGCTGACATAGGATATAAACGGCATAAGTTATATAAAGGGACACAAAATGTTTATCATGATTTATAACAAAGAGGAATCAGTTCTCCTGTTTAGCTGACAAAAGGGGGCCAGGTTTGTGTGAAGGAATTACAGTCTTACAGTATGTGCAAATGCGGCTATTTTCTCCAGGTTTGAGTAATTTGAGCCAATGATTTCTGTCTTTTCATGTAAGTTAAAAGTTGTTGTTGTTGTTTATTTTGCTGTTAACGAGATAAAAAATTATGGTTTGAGGTGAGTAGAAATTTTAAATGTAGAATGTGTGAGCTATTACAGGACAAACTGGGATGACAGGATAGACATTGTTATGTTTGTAATCAACAAGCTGACATAGGATATAAACGGCATAAGTTATATAAAGGGACACAAAATGTTTACCATGATTTATAACAAAGAGGAATCAGTTCTCCTGTTTAGCTGACAAAAGGGGGCCAGGTTTGTGTGAAGGAATTACAGTCTTACAGTATGTGCAAATGCGGCTATTTTCTCCAGGTTTGAGTAATTTGAGCCAATGATTTCTGTCTTTTCATGTAAGTTAAAAGTTGTTGTTGTTGTTTATTTTGCTGTTAACGAGATAAAAAATTATGGTTTGAGGTGAGTAGAAATTTTAAATGTAGAATGTGTGAGCTATTACAGGACAAACTGGGATGACAGGATAGACATTGTTATGTTTAATGTAACCAATGCACTTAAGTTTGTATGTTGTGATGTGTGTTCTGTGTAGGTCTGAGCGATAAAACGATATATTAAGTCGTGATAAAATTTATGTCGATATTGATGATAAGCTTTGGACATTTTCACTTGATGGATTAATCTAACAGCAGAAATAAGTGTGACAACAGCCAGTTAGTGCTTGTCGCTAATAGACTAACTGCATGTAACTGGACTAACCAGCAGGCCGTTCTTGATGCACAGGATCTGAAACGTTGAAAGCCGCTGAAAGCAAGATAACATGACCGTGTTTCATTAGGTCTGTACATTCAAAGGTGCAAGAAATGTATTATATATGAAAAAATGAAATATATGAAATAGATTTTATATATATATATATATATATATATATATATATATAAAATATAATTGCCAAAAAGACAATGTGCCAAAAAGACTTTCATGCTGAATACTTTCGCCCATGCCATTGGATTCTGTCATTGGGCCAATGGGTGATTAATCTGAAAGACTCTTCAAACATCAGTCTTGTTCCATTTGCCAAAAATAAATAAATACATAAAAATATCCCACAGAAGTACACAGCGATGTCTGTTTGCTCGATGTTCAGTACTGAGAGACTGAAGCAGAGCTGGTTCCATGTTAATCTATACTTTGAGGGATCCTGAAATTTTTCTCCAATCATTATGCCAGTTTTGTCTGATTCAGCCAAAGCCACAAGAACTGGAGCAGAACTGTTTTGTAATTTTAACCAGAACACTTTAAAGTGTCCATCGTCTGGGGTGAAGCAGTGAAGAGTTGTGGAGTGTCCAGGCTGAACTCTCACTGCTGACTCTGGTTGAGACACATGCAGTAGAGTGCCCACAGCAAATGCCCCTAAACATAAAAAATATACAAATTAAACTACCTGCACAATCATTTTTAGCATCTCGGTCCGGCTTAAACTATGTACAGTATACACTGAGAAGCTTTGCCTGAGTGTTTTTATGAATTGTTTGTGTCAAATGTTTTCAATTTGTCAAAGGATTAAAGAAAAATCTTTACTTCACTCAGGTTAATTATATTGCATGTAATTGCAATTGCATGTAAAATGATAATTTAGTCATCTTAATGAACTGATCTGTAGAATACTACACATGCCACGGGCCTTTCTGCAGGACAAAATATCAATTTTGAAAGGGTTATTGAGTTTTGGGGTGGAGACTTTGTGCACATTATACAACCTGACCGCTTTAGCCACATCTTCCTGTCATGGTTTTGGTAAAGAAAGTTTTGTTGTACCTGTATAAAGGTCATTATTTTTTAATTAGACAAATCGCTAAGTTCCAACAGGCAAAAGACTTAGCTAAGATACTAAGCCTACATTTTATTAGTTATTTGTAGCATATATAAAGTGCCAAAGCAAGGCACAATAAAAGGTTAAACATAAACAATAGTTTCAAAAATAACAAAGCAAAGTGCATCTTTTATAGGAGCATGCATTAATTCAGGTTGCTGTGTAATTTATAATTTTATTTTACTGGCCTTACTACAAAATCTATAGTCTCAGTCAGGTTGTGTTTCCTCAAAAATGTAGATCAAAACATATGTAACAATGAAGCTAAAAATAGCTAGTTATAATAGCCTAGATATTTTTCTTTCTTGGGGTGGACAAAGTACACAACTCCATTACTTGAGTAAAAGTACAGATACTGCTTGTCAAATATTACTCTATTACAAGTGAAATTTGCAAAGACAGATTTTTACTTAAGTAAAAGTACAGAAGTACATGCTTTTAAAATGTACTTAAGTACCAAAACTAAATTTCCAGTGCACTGTTTTATCATTGTTGTACTGTATGTAATACTTGCAATACCTTATGCCTCTGAAGCAACTTACAATATACACTGAATACACTGACTTGTAGTATATCTTTGGAATAAAGAGCTGGCAGTATGAGCACACATCTACGTTTAGCCATTCATCCATATTTGAACCGAGTGCTATAAATACAAACTGGAAAAAAACAAACATCAAACCTGCTTACAACTGTAGCTGTATAACTTTACAAAAGCAACACTGCTTTAACAAAAAAGCAAAACAGCAAGGTTTATTTTACATCAAAACAAACATTTCAAAAATGCTCTCACATACAAATGTTTATAATGGTCATAATCCGTATATTGTGTGATTTGTTCTGCTTATTTACTGTATTGTTGAGTTGGTGATAAGAGAGTTTATAACGCGTCACTAATTATCAATAGGATAATATCCATATATGCAAGCTTATATAAAGTTATGCTATCATTTATTGGTTTTATCAATATTCATTTTTATATCAGCCTCCTCAAAAAAATTCTTAACTGGCACCAATTGTCAGTAACACCTGCTTTGTACGTTCACCAAAGGTTGTCTCATGCTCACTTGATCTCAGGACCTCTAGTACAAACTTGAAACTTAGTATACATGAGGATGGATTGAAAACATTTCAGTTCTTGAACTGCATTTTGAGACAAACTGCTTCACCTTTGCAATTTCGATTTTCAACAGCTGGGGGAGTTAAATAGCCAAACTGTACACTCCAGTGAAACTCTGCTTCAGCTGGCTCAGAAAGGGTTATTTGTGTTATAAATCTTAATTTAATTTGCTTACATTTGACATGTATTATTATTATTATTATTATTATTATTATTATTATTGTTGTTGTTTTATGTGCATATATAGGTTGAGGTGATTGGCTCAAAAAGCCTGGAAGTGTAACATGTGCCAATGAGCAAAAAGGGCAGATTTCTTTTTATTAGGGGTATGAGCACTGAAGATGTTTAGCTCCTGTTGTATGTTGTCCCCAGCAGGGACGTGCACAGACATTTTGAGGGGCAGGGGCTCAAGTGGAAAAAATGGCACTTCTCATAATTATTTACATTTTTTTCTAAACAAAATGTTAGATATGTTAGGGGTGTGCGATATTGTCAAAAATATATCTCAATATTTTCTGGGATTTTATTGATAATGATAATTAGACAATATTTTGCTGAGTGTGTTATTGTGCTGATATCTTCAGGACTACCATGGACAGCTGACTCCTAAAGTTTTTGATATTCTGTATATTCTGTGTGGTGATCCGTTCACAGCAGTGATAGAAATTAATCTTTTCCAATAAGTTTAAATAGATTTTTTTCCTTTTATGAGAATTTTTACCTTTATAAAGCCCTTTTTTCTAAAAGTGCGCATCATCTTTTCAGTCAAATTATTAAATTTAATCAGTCAATTAGAATAATAAGTAATTTGGGCTGTTAACAAGCAAATTAAATCAGTATGGACAAAATTCATCTTTGCAATGCAGAGAAAACACAGAAGCTGCATTAGAAGGGGCATTTAGATGCATTTACACACTGTTTAATGCAGGACATGAGTGCATTTAACCTGCAGTTACAAATGCATAAATTATGTTTTGATATTTTAAACATAAAACGTTGAACAGGCCTACTGATATTTGAAATTGTAAAAAAAGAAAAAAAAGAAAAGATACTTTAAATGTGAAATTAAAACTGCCAGTAGGTGGCAGCAAGTCACTGTTAATAAGTGAGTCATTGCGATTGAACCGAATCATTTAAACGGTTGATTCATTCAGGAACAAACAATGTCCTGTTGCTCATATGGCCCAGAGACGCAAACTGGAATTATATTTGTTAGCGAAATAGAGCAAAAACAGTCAATTTTATGTGTAAAAGTAAGTGTCGTAATATTAAATTCTTGTTTATTGAACTGCTGTATAAAAATCAATATCACATTTGTAATCATGCTGCTTTTTGGTGGAAAAAAAACGTCAGTCTATGCGTGATACTGATTAACTATATGAAATGATATAAATATATAAATTTCTGCCCCCATATTTTGAATTTTGTGATCATTCTAAATGCATTTTTTAATAAACTGAATCATGCAGTGAAAGAACGAGCACTGGTCTAAACTACTAGACTTCCTAGGCCTTGCCTTGGCTAAACTATAGCTAACTTACATGGTAGCTCTCTCATGAGTCATGGATGTTAGCAAGACAAATTAACCATATTTGCCTTTTGTTTTTTAGATAACAAGCTGTAAATTCGAGGCACAGGTAGCTTAGTCTGTTGTTCATCACATTATTCACCACTCACCTCCACACCAAGACAAACACAACTGGAAAGGGAGGGAGGGATTCATTTCTGCGGCTCTCTGCCTGTCCGTGATGTGCATGTGCCGATCAATGTGTTCTACACTGCTGTGCTGCGCCTGCACAGAGGGGAGAAAGTCTCAACATTTCCCGACCCGACCCGACTTGATATTTAGATTTTTTATTTGTTTGACAGGGAAAGCTGTGCGCAAACAGAAACACACACACACACGCATATACATGTATTCATTTATTTTTAAAAAAAACACTCCCCATAAAAAAGGGCACTTTCTCTCGAGGAAGAAAAAGGGCCGGTGCTCAAGCCCCCTTTTATGTCTATGTGTGCACGTACCTGGTCCCCAGGCATACAAGTATTATAAAAAGAATAAGGCTGT